AGGAAAGAAAGTCCTCTGAAAGGGAGCCAACTCAGTCGTCACGTGCCTCTGTCCTTCTGCCACACTCTTCCAGCCTCCGACACAAGCACGAGGCTCTCGGTGAAACAATTATCTTGCAACTATGAGAATGAGAGTCACGTGCTAAGTGCAGTGGAAGAAAACACTAGAAGCCTGGGTGCCACTGCAGTTCTCTCATTATGTAAAGGAGGAAAAAGCATTTTACTAAGCTACTGTTATTCACTTTCCATTACAAGCAGCCACATGCAATCCTGTGAGGCTGCTGGTCCAAAGCTGGCCTTACTGCAAAGGTCGCCAGAGCTAAGCCTACCAATCAGGGGAAGAAAATACACTAACCACTGCTATCATCACTGCTGACGGCACAGGATGGCTTTCATATTTACGGAGGGGTTCAAGGAATCTGCACTTGGAAATCACTATTTTAGACATGAAAACATATGGCTAGTGAACAATGAATGAAAAGGGAAAAGGACGGGGGAAAGTAGAAAATCAGGCCCGTGGGTCATCTTCACCACAGTGTCAACCTGAAGAGTCATACCCGACTAAAAACAGATCTTAGAGTAAAGATTTTCTAAACCTAGTCTGAGGGAAACAGCAAATATGTACTGAGACTTCTCAAGGTGGGTCCCAACAAAAGGCCCATGGCACAGCCCTCGACAGACTGGGTTCCCACGTGGGCCTCACACTGTATTACTGGCAACACCGTGGGTGGGAGGGAGGGCCTTACACAGCTGTACTATCTCATCCAATGTAAATCCTTAAATCCATCTAAACTTGAATGAGATCTGGGAGCAAGAAAAAAAGATGCAATGATGTTCTAATAAGGATTAACACAGGTCTAAAACATTTGTGTCCCAAGATTTCAAATCGTGCTTTACTTCAGTATTTCATGGTAACATCAAAAATTAGGAAATGTTAAGGACCAGGGAAAAAAGAGAGAGATAACAGCAACTGTCTTATGAAGCATTTAATACAAGCTAAACACTTACTGCAAACAACTACATGTACTCCACACATCAGCCTCAGTGACACAGTTACCACCTTCCCACTTTAGAGACAAGAAGGTGACCCTAACACCACTTGTATCATCCAAGGTCACACAGGTTGTAACAGGTAAAGTCAGAATCTGAATCCAGGTCAGTCTAGCCCCAAAGCCCGTACTTTCACGGTTGCTTCAACATGTCAACTACAGTACAACCAACACCTGGGTGGAAATTCTAATACAATAACAGGGATTTGAAAGGAGCTCAAAACACTCCTTTCTGCAAAGACAAACGATTTATAATGAGAACAATACTAACATTTTTTACAATATACTTAAAGAACTTAAAATCTTGCCGAAGCATGTTTAAGATAATAAAACTCTTTTTTTTTTAAATATTTTCTTTATTTATTTTTCGAGAGAGGGGAAGGGAAGGAGAAAGAGTGGGAGAGAAACATCAATGTGTGGTTGCCTCTCATGCATCCCCTGCTGGGAACTGGCCTGCAACCCAGGCATGTGCCCTGACTGGGAATCGAACCGCGATACTCTGGTTCGCAGGCCCGCGCTCAATCCACTGAGCTACGCCAGCCAGAGCTAAAACTCTTTTTTTAAGATTATATTTATTTATTTATTTTTAGAGAAAGGGGAAGAGAGGGAAAAGCGAAGGAGAAACATCAATGTGTGGTTGCCTCTCACACACCCCCCAACTGGGGACCTGGCCCGCGCAACCCAGGCATGTGCCCGACTGGGAATTAAATCAGCGACCCTTTGGCCCGCAGGCCAGCACTCAATCCACTGAGCCACAGCAGCCAGGGCTAAAATAATAAAATTGTTTAAAAGGAAGTCCTTTTAATTCCCACCCTGAACACTTTTATTATGTTCGAGGAAGGAAATTTTCTCCATAGAATTTTGCCAGAAAAAGAGAACAAAACAAAATGTATGAAATATCAACCCCACAAACATCACAGTGCTGAGTAGCACATGTGAAAAAAGTTACAGTTCCAATAGATGTACGTGCTTCGATGAGAAAGGAGACGCCATTGTGCCAATTCCCAAAGCACAACCCAAATGGGCAAAAGATTTGAAAAGACATTTCAGCCAAGAAGATCTATGGAATGCTAATGAACAAGCACATAAAAAGATGCTCAACATTGTTAGTCATTAGGGAAACGCAAAACAAAACCCCAGTGAGATAGATTCCACTTCACACCCACGAGGGCGGCTACAATCAGCGTGACAGGCAGCAGACGCTGGCAAGAGAGACTGCAACCTGCATCTGCACTAACGTGACCATAGAATGGTACTCACTTTAAAAAGTTAAACATAAATTTGCCATTTTGAGTGGAATCGCAGGATCATTGTGATTCCACTCAAAAAAAAAAATTGAAATGTGTTCACATAAAGATCTGGTGTGAATGCTCGCAGCCAAAAAGCAGAAGCCCAACATCCATCAAATGGTGTCCAAAAAAAAAAGGAATATAATGGACAGTACAGGCCACAACATGAATAAACCTCAAAAAAAAATCCCAAATAAAAGAAACCAAACACAAAGGATCACATAGTACATGATTATATTTATATGAAAAGTCCAGAAAACTCAAATCTATAGCAACAGAAAGTAGATCTGCAGTTGCCCTGGAGCAGGGGGTGGGGACAGGGAGTGACTACAAATGGACATGAGGCATCTTTCTGGAATGATGGAAATGTTCTAAAATTGGATGGTGGTAATGACTGAACAACTGTAAATTTACTGAAAAACTACAGAATGCTACCTTTAAAACAGGTAGACTTTATGGTATATAACTTATACCTCCACAAAATTGTTTAAAAAAATGAAAAATACTATGCTAGTTGAAAGAAGCCAACACAAAAGACCATATTGTATGATCCCATTGATATGAAATATCCCAAAAGGGCAAATCGATAGACAGAAAGTAGGTGGGGGGCTGGGTGGGGACAGGGGGCGACTGTAACAGGCACCAAAGATCTCAATGAGGTGATGAAAATGCTCTAAAGCTGGATTATGCTCATGGGTGCACAACCCAGTAAATTTACTAAAACAAAAAATCATTGAATTTTATACTTAAAAATGGGTGAATTTTGTGGTATTAAGTTACACCTCAGTAAAGTTATTTTTAAAATAAGGTGGTCAAATCACATTGTAGTGCTTAACCTTTTATCCATGGAGCACTCCGAGAATAAGATGAAGACCAACCCTCTCCCGGAAGGCTGAGCGTCCCCTCTCTCCACTCCCAGGCACCCCACGGTTCGAGGACACCGCCTCTCTAAGTATCCACAGTCCTGTGCCGCCTCAACAGCAAAGGCACTAAGCATGACCACAAGCATCCTCTTCACCCTAGAAAGAAACCAACAGGAAAGCAAAACTGCTCTTCTAAAACGATCACAGGGACTCTTTACTTTTCAGACTTCACTCTGGAATGTCCCACTTAATCCCCTTCTTCAGTACGAAACTCTGAGGGGCCCAGAAGCAATCAATCAAGACGGAGCCCGGCTAGCTGCCTTTAGAACCAACCAGCCCGTGTCAGATAGCAGGCAGCAAAAGGCAAGCCTGTGGAGTGACTTAGGGGAAAGACGTGATGTCTCAGATAAAACTTAGCTCAGATTTGTTCTGAAACAAGAGGCAAGTGAAAAAAAGAAATATGACAAAGTTTCTCTAAAACACAGATACAGTACAATAAACACTCACACCCCCAAGGTAGCTAACGAGTTTTCCATCAGTCTTTCTGCTATACAACTAATTTTAGAACAGGATGCTGATCCAGCAAAGCAGACAATCTCCTTCCTCCAATATACAGGGGTCTGCTCATGTCAATTGGATTGAGCTTCTGTTTAGCTAAACCCACCCCTTTTTGATTTCTAAAGTCACTGGATTATGGTTGTCCAACAAATACTTCCCTCAATATCCCCAGTCCCTACTCTCTCCCAATCACGGTGCCAATCTGAGAATTACCAGTCTATGTTTGTGCAAGTTTTGGTCTCTGCCAACTGGTATTGCTGGACCACCTTCAAATCCACTCCTCGCACAACAGCCAGACCCACTGGATGTCCCTGCTTTGGAGCCCTCCAGCAACGCGCACAATTCCAAAACCTTTACCAGGGCTGACAAGGTCCCTAAGATCTGGCCTCTCTCTTACCTTTATTTCTATCCTTGCCAGCCTTCCTTTGACTCCTAAAACACATCAACCTTTTTCCTTCCTCAGGACCTACCTTCACCTTTTCTCATCCCTCAGTAGGAAAAACCTTCCCTAGGCTCGTCAGCTTCCTTCTCGTCCTTCAGTGCACAACTTAAAATGCCCCAAAAGAAAGACTTTTCCTTGAAGTCACCCTGACGAGGTCTTCAGGTTATTCCCTATCAGAAAATCTTATTTCCTTCCTGGCACTTGCCAAAATCTGTCTTTGTTTTTATTCATCTGCTTATTCTCTGCTTATTTGAAGTCTCCCTCCCTGACTAGAAAGTCAGTCTGAAACAGAAGTTGTGTTCACGGTGCTCAGTTTGGTACCTGCTGCGGTACCTGCTGCTCCCCTGCTGCTCCCCGGCTCCGCCCCGGCTGCACCCCAGCAATGTCTGGCATTTCGTGGGCACTCAAGGTTTCTCGCACGGATGCGGGAATGAACTAAAGCACCCTATCCTATAATCCCCAAATAGGTGGCTGAGCCACAACTCTAATATCCCTTTTTTGGTACACCCTTTAAAGGCCTGCCCCACGCCTGCACTTTTTTTTCTCTCCAAGACGCATCTGTCGCTCAGGTTCAAACATCTATCACTACACAGATCTCTCATGAGCCCCTCAAACCCAAGCCACCCCGCCCCCAGCAGGCGCGCCACTCAAAATCCCCTCCCCGCCTCACCCACGCGCCCTACAAACCCCCGAGAACCACGAGTGCCCATTAATATCTGTGAGTCCTGCGCTCTGCGAGCTCCCGCGTGTCAGCCTCTGCCCAGAGCGGTGCCTCCCCACTCAGTGGCGCCAGCTCTCACCGATCACCTCCTGCAGCTCGTAATCGTCCCTGTTGATGGACCAGGGCAGGGCGCTCGAGTCCTCGGACATGACGGCAGCACAGCTCTCGGTCCTCCCTCAAACTCGCTGACCTCTTTCCTCTCCTCGCCGTGCTTCTCCCCACCCCCAACCGCTGCCGCCGCGACCCCACCAATCTCCTCGGGAACAGTCACGGGTCCGAACGCCGCCTGGGTGCGGGGTCACAGCGCGGCAGAGCGGCGGGGACTCGAAGCGGCGGGGACTCGAAGCTCCGGCGGACCTCGCCTCCTGCTCCTCCGCGCCCGGCACTCTCCGGCTCTGTCCAAGTCCCGGCCTCGGCCTCAGCTGCAGCAGCCACAGAAGCTTCGCCTGCGCCCAGCCCCTCTGTCCCGCCCTCCACCCCAGCCCCACGCACGGGCCAAACTTTCCCTTCACCTGCCGACACGCAGCGCGCTGACGTCACCGCGCCTGTCACTCCCCTCCTCGGCCCCGCCCCTCCAGCCGCCATCTCAAGTGTGGCTAGATAAGTAGCGAGCAAGCAAGAAGCCCGAGAATGTGGAAGTTGACAGTGCAAGAGAAGGAATGCATAGGAAGGATGTCAGCGAGGATACCGGAAAGACATAGGAGAAGAGTCTAAATAGCATACAGGCGGTGGCCACACTAAGCATGGCGACCAAGGGCGGCCGAGTAGAGGGACGGAGCCACTTCTTGCAGCGGGGGCACGTTGCCGTCTCCGTTGTCGCACTCATTGGTTTGTTTAAGAAGGAATCGAAAGGCAATAGGTGTGTGTGGACATCAATCATGTGTTAGTCCTGCCTCTAGGCTCTCAGCGCGCTCCTCCGTGCTGGGGCTCTGGTCCCTTAAGATCGCCAGCAGTCTGCTGGTGTTCCCTTCTCCCGGGCGACGTCACACCGTAACTGCCACACCCTCGAGACGTGCAAACGGTTCCGCCGGGTGTGGAGAAGTAGCTGGGTGGGGTAGCCCTGGAGTGTGGAAGGCTGCCAACTAGGATAAAAGGCCCTGGGCTACGGACGGAGTGAAACTGGAAGCTTGCCCTGTGACGACACTTTTTTCTAGGCGGAAGTTCTCCTTGTAGCGCCCATCGAGGTTCTCTCGACAACCTCACGGGGCTGGGAGTGAGTTCTGTCCATTCTCAACTTTGGATCTGGAGCTCAAATGACCATCTGTCTCGGGGGCCTCAGAACGTTGAGAGGCGGTCACGCTTTAAACCCCTGAAGCAGCTCGGGCCGTTACACAGAGTGAGATTTGGCCCGTTTCAAAGGGCCGAATCTTGCTTTGGCTTTTGTGTCACCTCACGGAACTTCAGTTTTCTCGGATTGACCACTTAGGTTCACGGGCGAAATGAATGAGGTGAAAATTGAACGTTCTTGGTAAAAGGGAAAAAAAGCGTCTGAACGTGGACTGGGCTAGGTACGAAACCGTTCTTGGTCGAACGTCTCCCAGACCCTCTGCACTCATAAGGAAGAGGCCTTCACCCAGGTCCTGGGAGCCCTGTGCTGATTGATCTCTGTTTCATGGAGGTGGCATTTGTACCAGACTCTGCAAAGTTAACATGATTTCAACCTGTGGAAATTGATAGAATATTACAGTCACGGCAAAGGAGCCAGAGTTCCCAAGTATGAAGGCATAGCGCAAGCCTTGCTGTAGAAACGTGTCAGCCATTACTGACACCTTTTTTATTGCCATGTGTTGGGGAGTTTGGAGAAGACCGCTGTGAGAAAAACAAAAATGGAGAGGGAGCCAGCTACGCACAGAGTGTTTTAAACAGGGTATAAAAGGGTTTTAGACACCTCAAAACTATCAGTAAATCCTCTCATTCTTGTTGGGCAGCTGTGTTTGGCTCCCTCAGTCATCTTTTGGGGAAGGGGGGAAAGTGAAGTTCTGGAGCCTTGGCCCTAATAATAAAATATCACCGAATCTTACCAAGTTTTCTTAAAAGTATGACATATTTGCCTGAAGAGAGGGACCTTGTTTTTCCAGACATTTTCAAAGGAGCCCTTGTCTTAGTTTGGGTTTGTCCCAAAATCAGGCTCTGAATCAGGGTTTAGATGCAAATAGTTTATTTAGGAGGTGACTCCAAGCAGCACTCTGAGGGAGGGAAAGAAAGGAATGTCATTAAAGGGCTTGTTAATGAGGGATTCCTGTGTGGGCTCAGTCCCCCTGTGAACTGGCTGAGAAATGAGCACATATCAGAATTGTGCCACAGGCAGGAAAGCTGAGGTGTCTACCCACCGACTCCTTTCCCTCTTTAGTGTGTTGGTACCCCTGCGCAGAATTCTACGTGGCTCAGTGCTGGAAAGGCACACTGCCAAAGTCAGATGAGGCACCTGGGCAGGAGGCACAGTCCTCCCCGTGTACCATAACCCTCTGAAAGCAAACTTCAGAGTAGGAGGCCCAAAGGACTGTGAGCCATGTGGGCAACATCCACGACAACGTGGAAACCTAAACAACTGAGAATCGCTGTCTGGACTGAAAACCCAGGAGAGAAAGTATATTCATGCTTCCTTTTCTTTGTTGCCTTTATGCAACTTAACTGCCTTTTGCTTTGCTTTTAGCCCCTGCAGGGTAAGAGGAAGAGGCCTGATTTCCAGACTAGTGACTCCTTGAAGTGGTAATTACAGCTGTAATAATTCAAGTTTTATAGGATCCACTAATGAAAGTGTTTGAAGTCTAGAAATGAATGTGTGCCCTATGAGAAACCTGAACATAAAGAGAGGCAAGATTTTATGTCTGTCATAAGCTGATTATCTCAGCAGTTCGTGTCAGTGCCAGAACCAACTATAGACTGCTAGAATCTGACCCCCTCCCCGTCTGTCCCAGTTCACATGTCACCTGTAGTATAATGTCATCTCTTGTTATGAGAAGGACAACATCCACGCCTCACGTAAGTGTGCTTCTGCCTTCTGTATGGAAGGAACAGTGGAGGATGAGAGGAGAGGGGACATGAACAAGGTAGGGGCCTGGTAAAAAGTTGGAATCTTGGTGAGCCTAGGAAATGAACATCCAAGATGACAGATGCTCAGAGCCTATAAGAAATAGGTGGGTGAACAGGTTATTGTAGAGGAGAAAAAAATCAGTTTGTGCAGAAAGTAGAGTCTCAGCATCATGCTGTTTTGAGCCAGAGTAGCTTCAGATTCACCCAGGCTGGCACCATGCCGATTTGATGAGCTCAAGCTAAGTGAGCAAACAATTAAGGTAAACAGGCCACTTGTAGATGAATTAGATTTCTGTATTGCCTTAGTTTTAGCCACCATAACAAATTACCACAGACTGGGTGGCTAAACCACAAATAATTTTTTTTCTCACAGTCCTGGAGTCTGGGAAGTCCAAGATCTATCTGCTGGCAGATCTGGTATCAGGTGAGAGCCAGCTTCCTGGCTTTTAGACAGCCGTTTTCTCATTGCATCCCCCAGCAGAAGGCTGAGGGAAGCTCTCGTGTTGTGTTTCTGCATATAAGAACACTAATCCCATTTATGAGGGCTCTACCTTCGTGACCTAATTACCTCCCAAAGGCCCCATCTACTAATATCACATTGAGGAGGTGAGGATTTCAACACATGAATTTGAGGGAGACACAAACCTTAGTCCATAACATACATGTATGTAAATTTGTAGAATAAGGTCTGGGAGATGCATGGAGGTGTAATACACATTTGCTTTATGCGGATTGTTTGAACTGTAAGGAAAAAATATTCTGATGCTGTGTAACCCTGACAATGCAAAAATTTTAAAGCATTTCATTAAGATTGATTCCACAGAAATATTTTTGGGGCCCATAAACATGAATGACAGCTGCATTAACAATCAAGGAAATGCAAATTAAAACTAAAATGCGGTACCATTTTACTCTCACCGGATAGGCAAAATTTAAAAGCCAGTGAATACTAAGTGTTGGCGAAGATGAGGAGCAACAAAAATCCAGGTCCATTGCTAGCTGGAGTGTCAATTGATGCTGCCTTTTTGGGGAGCAGGTTGGTATTACCTAGAAAAGCAGAACCTGTACTTCCCCATGGCCTAAACTCTTGCTCACACATTCCAAGGAATACATACAATGATACCTATGTCAGCATGTCTTGTGACAGCTAAATAAAGAACATCACCCAAATAGATTGAGAACATATTCATATAATGGGTACTAAACAGCAGTGGAAATGCAGCTATGTAAAATAATTAGCTGAACCTCAAAACAATGCTAATAAAGACAAAGTAACAGTACATACAGTATGATTGCACTCACATGAAGGTCCAAAGCAGTCATAATTGAATAAACTTTTCTGTTTGAGATTCTACTGAAAAAGAGCAAGGAAATAAACTTAGTTTGGCAGTTGGCTTCGGGAAAGGGAGAGGATTGCAACCAGGGAAAGGCATGTGAAGACGTGCACACTTAAGGTAATGGTCCAGTTTCCAACCTGATGATGGGCGCACCAATGCTCCACAGTCCACATCTGTTTCTGTGCTCTGCTGAAGTGTATCATACAACTTCAAGTTTGCTTTCTCATGTCTCGGGCAGTAAATGAGGTTTTTACTTCCCTTCTTTCAGATGGAGGGGACTTCACTCTCTTCAGCCAGTGTTCTCTGGGCCTCCCCCTGCCCAGAGAACAGGCCCTTCCTCCTCCCAGGAACGCCACTTTCTTTCTGCTCCACGTGTCCCAGTCGCACTGGCTCTGCCAGGTTCAGCCAATGGCTCACTTTCCCCTCCCCCCTACTTTGAATGTTTTTTCTGAGATCGTTCCAGCCCCCAGGGAAGTCCTGTACACTTACCATTTAACCCAGACCATTCCTGGGCACGTGGCCCATGCTGCCATGTCCCCACTGTCTTCTCTGCTTGTGTATATTCTACATGTCAAATTAGGTTGTGGGTCACCCACGAGGCATGGGGGATACCCTATGGCTAGAAAGGAAGTAAAAGATTTTTGTTGGAGTTTAGGGTGTGGTTGTTTTTTGCCCACCTTAAGCCTTGCCAGTATGATGACAGTCTAGAAATTTATGAAGAGCTTTACTTCTCTCCTTTTAGGGAAAATTTTCAAAACTGTATATACTATTTAATTCTCAGCCTTAATCAGTCAGAAGCATTCGAATCTCGGAGGCATGGGTGCAGTTTATAAAAACACTAAAAAAAACACAGCTATCTCACTAGCAAGCTCAGGAACTGAATACTCATATTTATCTTCTGATATGTTAGTATCCCTTACTCTCTCAACTGAGCAACTAAATCAGTTCAGACAGATGGAATTTAATGCCTAGTTCCATAATATAAATACAGAGAAAAACCCAATAAAATCTTCATAGGAGATTTAACTGCCTACAGTAGACCGGGCAATGTTTTAAAATAAAGACCTCGTGTAGTCAGTCAAATAGCCTTGTGATATTTTTATGCCAGTTTTACAGACGAGGAAACAAACTCACAAAGGTTGAGATACTTCCCTGCAGAAATACCTGGAAGTGCTTAGCCCAGTACCTACCTTGTGGTAAGTACTTAATAAGCAATGGCTGTCATTTATAGGTTGGTAGGAGCAGAGCATTTCTAAAGCATTATGGGAATGGAGGTTAAGCAACAGCACCTACTCTATGTCTGACTCAGGTCCGCTCACTCAGGAGAAACAGGTTCTAACCGCGACCTGCATGGTGTGGTTCACTGTGCTGCTGAATCACTGCTGCTCGAAGCGCTGCCTAATTTCTTATCACAAAATCCAATTGAAGAAATGAAGGCTTTCTCATTGATTCTCAGGGGATTGTGAAGCCTTGCTTGCCATTAGCACCCAAAGTGAACAGGCGAATTCAGGTTTCAGGCCTACCAAAATTAGAGAGGCCCTTGCCTGCCAGGGAGCTGAATCAGAATTTCAGCGCTCCAACATCCGAATTATAGGGGTACCAGAAGGGGGAAAGGCACAGCCACCAGTGGAAAACTTATTTGAACAAATAATATAGGAGAATTTCCCCAATCTGGCAAAGGAAATAGACTTCCAGGAAATCCAGGAAGCTCAGAGAGTACCAAAGAAGTTGGACCCAAGAAGGAACACACCAAGGCACATCATCATTACATTAGCCAAAATTAAAATGAAGGAGAGAATCCTAGAAGCAGCAAGAGATAAGGGGACAGTCACCTACAAAGGAGTCCCCATCAGACTGTCAGCAGATTTCTCAAAAGAGACCTTACAGGCAAGAAGGGGCTGGAAAGAGGTATTCCAAGTCATGAAATCCAAAGACCTACATCCAAGATTTGCTCTATCCAGCAAAACTTTCATTTAGAATGGAAGGGCAGATAAAGTGCTTCTCAGATAAGATCAAATTCAAGGAGTTCATCATCACCAAGCCCTTATTATATCAAATGTTAAAGGGACTTATCGAAGAAAAAGAAGTTAAAGAAATATGAACAGTGAAAAGAAAACAAACTCACAGTTATTAACAACCATACCTAAAACAAAAGCAAACTAAAAGGACAGCTAGATCAGGAGTGGAAACATAGAAATGAAGATCTCAAGGAGGGTTAGCAACAGGGGAGTGGGAGGAGGAGAAGGGGGGAGAAGGTACAGAAAATAAGTAGCATAGACAGTAGATAGAAAATAGATGGGGGAGGCAAGAATAGCATGGTAAATACAGAATCTAAAGAACTTGAGACACATGGACATAAACTAAAGGGGGGGTAATGGTGGGGACGGGGGGTAGGGTGGAGGGGTACGAAGGGGGGAATAGAACAACTGTAACAGCATAATCAATAAAAAAATTTTAAAAAAAAATTTTTTTTCAGGACACCAAGAAATGAGGCCAATCAAATACCCTATGAAATGCAGGGCATAGGTATTTATGAACTACCCTCTGTGTGCACAGCTGTGAGATGTCTGTCTAAAGAAGAGACTGTCTTGCCCTAGCTGGATGGTTCAGTTGGTTGGAGCATCGTCCTGTATACCAAAAAGGCTGCAGTTTCAGTCACTGGTCAGGATACGTGTGGGAGGCAACCGATCAATGTTTCTCTCTCACATCAATGTTTTTCTCTTTCTTACTCCCTTCCTCTCTCTCTCTAAAAAATAATGGAAAGCATCCCTCTGGTGAAGATTAAAAAATAAAAATAAAGAAGAGACTGTTGCTCTGGCTGGTGTGGCTCAGTGGCTTGAGTGCTAGCCTGTGAACCAAAGGATGGCTGGGGCATGTGCCTGGGTTGTGGGCCAGGTCCCCAGTAGGGGGTGTGCAAGAGGCAACCACACATTGATGTTTCTCTCCCTCTCTTTTTCCCTCCCTTCCCCCTCTCTAAAAATAAATAGGTAAAATCTTTTTTTTTAATTTTTTTTTTTTTTATGGAGACTGTCTTCTATCATCCAAAGGGACCTGGGCTCCAGAATTGGTTTTATTTCCCTGGTAAGTAGCAGTAAACTATAACAGAGGGAGGGCTGTCCATGACCTCAGGGCAGAGTCTATCCTGTGGCCACCCATTCAGCAGACAGAGAAGGCATTATCCTACTATTATTAGATTGTTCTGCCTCAGTCTTTTGGAAATAACTTTGTCTCAAGCAGGTGCTATCTCAAAGCACCCCTGACCACCCCATGCCATCCTCACACAGAGAGTCTAGTCTAGGCATGAGGTCAGTAAAGTCCACATTGACCCCTTATGTAGAATTACATTAAAGTCTCCTACAGAATGCTCTGCCCAAGAATTTCACCCACCCAAATTCTAAAGAAAACTAATTTGGAAGATGTGGCATCTTTGTGGTAACTACCACAGAGTGGTGCTATGATGGGTCTTCTTAGGCACCCATAAGCCGTGGGACACAGCCTGAAAGCAGGAAAATGATGAGGAAGTAACTGCGTATTGTGCAAGCACTGAGTCAGTCTTCATATTGCAGGAAAATGAAGCGACCAGACACCAAGGGTTTCTGGAGTATGAGGTTTATTTTAACGTGCATGGGCCCAGAGGAGTCAATTTCCAAATTCTGAGCCCCGAACAAAGGATTCTTGGGGTTTTTATAGTTTACAGCGTCTTGTCTACGTAGCAAAGCGGGATACAGAAGCGGAATGTGGAAGTTAGTTCTAGCTATGGTGCAGAAGCAGAGTACAAAGGCCAAATTTGAAGGTCAGTTTTTAACAGCAGGGGTGTTCATCTCAGTCCTAGCTAATGCACTGTTGTTTACTTATCCCAGACAGCCCCATCATTCTCCCCAGGGCGCCTGGGGCCTGGGCAAATAAAGGTTAAACAGAGGTTTTTCAAAGTTTCCCTTATCATTCCCCCCTTTTATGCTAAACAGCACTAGTGCTTGTTTAAGCATAATATATTTTTGTAGGAATAAATAAGTCCCCCCTTTTCCTGGATTTAGAGCATTAATGAGGTTTCTTTTCTCATTATTTTTCTCCTCCTGTGATCTACTATCAGGGAGGGGTTCTGAGGCCTTTTTCTCCTTTTGGACTATTATATACTTCTTTGTAGAACTACTTACATAGTTCTAACAAAGCAATCAAAGATTTAGAACAAAAAGAATACGGATGGTGTAAAGGCCAGGTATTTCTCTTGCTATTACCTATATTCCAGTTCTATTATTGCAAAAGAGCAGTCAGAAACCAAGTTTTTTAACCTAAAATACTTTCATGTCTTTGCTCTCTACTTGCACTGTCCCAACTCCGGGTACTGTAAATCAGGAAAGAGTACACATCCGTGCTTCAGGCCGCCGGCACCATCAGCTGTATCAGGCAGGATCTCTAGCCAATCCAAAGCCATGCGGCATTCCCCCACGGTCCACTGGCAAGAGTTCTTTTGTACCAAGTTCCAGTCAAAGTCCCTCCCACTTTCCAGGCCATGTGGCCAAAGGGGGAATCCCAAAGCGCGTGGGCCTCCTCTACCAAAGCTGCAGGGGTCCTCACTCTGCCCTAAATCGAGTGGCTCCCTCTTTTACCTGAGTACTTATCCCCTCATGTCCTGGAGCTGATCTTCTCTAAACTTTTATACAGGCCTCCCCCTTCAGGGGCTCTGCTCCTAGTTATATCACGGGTAAGTGACTTTATTCCCCTAGTTTTAAGCCTGGCCACACTATTCAACACATCTACAAAACCAGCCAAAGGCCACAGATATGTCAAATAATCACTCTAGAGGTCAGCTGCAAAACCGTTGCTATGCAAAACAGCTCTCAATCCCCTCGCTCTACTCATCCCTTCCCCCCGGGGGGGTGAGGACATCTCAATATTTCTTGGACACCCTGAACTTCGGACTTTATCCTAAATCCTTTCTGGCCCCCCCCCTTTGGATGCACCCTGTATCAATATTCCTCCTTTCAGATTTACACCTACTTTATAATCATATAAAGGAAAATGGACGAAGGTCTCATCTTATTTTAACTGCTTCCAGCTGGAAATGGACGCTGTTTTACCTACCCCTGGGTCAGGGGTGCCCTGAAAGGGGGGGGGGTGCAGCACGGAGGGAGTCCTTCCTGTAAAGGGAAGGACCTTACAGGATCCTGGTCAGTTGGCTGTCACCAGGAAGTCGCAGGCTTGGCGTCCAAAGGCTGGCATTACTGGACTGTTGGCATACTGGTCAGGTTGTATTCCAACTACTTAGTTCAGCCAAACCGTTGAGTCTCAGAAGGGGGGGGCAATGACGAAGATGGGCTCTTTAAGTGAGGCCTATATTGCAACCAATCACTCATAGGCACAGGCAGGTCATAGGCATACGCCCTATGAAAACAGAAGAACACACAGGTTAATTCACACAATAATCCCCAAACCGGTCTCTGCGCCTGTGAGACTGTCTTTTGGGAAGACATTCTATTGCAAAGTCCTCTGCACCTCTAAATTGTACATCTTTAGTGATATCACAAACCTGGTTTCAACTCTTTAATGAAAATAACTTTCAAGACAGTTAGCTGCGCCATTCTGATGTCCAATACTGAGCATTGTGATTTTACTTGAACTACAATTTTTCTCCTCTAGATCACACTCACTGTTATTACAGGGACTCCTTTGGGTCCCGCTTTTGATTTTTGACTGTTTGTTTGCATAAACACACCAAGAGCAGCCTGGATCACTTATGATCCTTAAGTCTGCTTTGCTGGAACTCACACAGGGAACCCTTAGATTGACTTCTCAGTCCGCCCCTCAGGGCACAGAAGCAGAACCACACACCTGCCATCTGGCTTCGCCTGTACCTATTGTTTCAATCAAATCCTTGAGCCTCTATTGTGCCTTCAGGTTCTTTTTTAACCATCTTTCAGGAAAGCAACCTCCGTTCCTTCCCTGGAAAGACTGGCATGAACTGCACAACTAACCAGAGTACCAGGCTTTTCTTGTGGGCTTTTGCTAGCTTTACAGGTCAATCCCAGTTCCTCTGAGCTTTCTGGTAATGACCAGAACCCATACATGCCTCCTTCAGGCATGACATTCCAGTCAAAGTCCTAGTTAACAAGTCACTATTAATGACTGGTCTTATTGGATTTGTGCAAAGAAACCTTATGTCATCACTCACTGATTCAGAGTGCTAAATTCTGGAGGGTTCAGGTAGGGAGAAAAACACAAAGCTTGAAGGAAAATCTTTTTCCTTCTGATACCCACTGAGATTGCATCTCTATGCCTTATACCTTCTATTACTAACCACACATAATTTCTTTCCAAAACTTTCACATCTCTATTCATTTTTATAACTTCTCCCAGACTTTCTGCAATATTTACAAACCTTCTATAGCCTTTTTACCTATCTATATAATTTACTTTTAATCTCTGTTCTTTTCTTACACTGGGAAGGACTCTACTTAAACTCAGTATCTGGCAGCTAAAAGTCCCTAATACTATAGGCATTTTCTATAGGCATCTTCTAAATGTCCCTAGATTTGCAGGAACATTTTTTTTAATCTTTCTGAAGCTTAGACCTTGCAAACATCTTGTAAATCAGATGGTCGGCCTTGGACCTCAGTTCATGACCTTCAAAACTAGAGCTGTTCCTATCAGAACCAGTAACACAGAGAACCTGACTGCTGCAGTGTCCACACAGCAGCAGCATACAGCTCATAATCGGAAAAGAAGCCTTAGCCAGTTCTAAGATGGTGATGCCCATGAATGTTCTGTCCTTCAGGTGGTTCACTCACATGGCTCATCTATTTTACCTAAAATAGCAGTACCCTGACTCTGGTTCTGCCTACCTGCAAAGGTCCCAGGACTCCAGTTTAAGGATCCCAGAAGCCCCCAAGGCCCCTTCTACCTGTGGGTGTAGAGGCACCACCAAGCCACCCTCCACCCATTGGGGTGGTTTACTGAGGCTGCAGTCACCAGTGGAGGCAGGGCAGAGGTCCCGCCGGACTCTGAAGGTGGGGGCCCTGCAGCTCCGTTTTCGGGAGTCAAGGAAAACTGGGTTAGTCTCCCTCCCTGTGAAGGACTCCAGATCTCTGGCCAGCCCCCCTACCCCAGGTGAGGCGTCCTACCCGCCACCGACTTCTGACCAAGCTCTGGGGGCAGGGAAGAGGAACCTGAGGCAGCGCCTGCGACCAGGGACAAGCCCCGTCTCCTGCTGCCGGCATTCCAGAGGTTGTCTCTCGCCCTTAGCCCCAAGGGGTAGAGGTACAATTCCTGAAATCAGGCAGAGCGGTCAGCAATATTTCCCTATTCTTGTTTATAAAGTTAAATCAAAATAGGCCTGTGAAATCTGCTATTTGCTATTCTCAAATGCAATTACAAGAAATAACTTCTATATACATCACAGAGTACAAGCAAGAATTAAAATAAGGCATTCCCGGGTTGTTATAACTCAAACTCTTAAATTCAGTCAGTTGAAAAATGATATAAACACATGGGATAGACAAAAGTAATAGGTCTGCTTACATTTCAATTTTGGGAAGAATTAGCACAGACTTTACAAAGTTACTTTGAAGATATGCGGCAAGGGCTAGTATCTGAACTCAGGGTGAGACAGTTCAGCATGAAGAATCTGAAAAAACTCCTGCTTGGTTAAGCGTTAAATGTCCTGCAGCATTAATTTAGTCCCTTTAGTTGGTAGGAAAAGTCTCTCTTAGGTGACCACTCCAGGGGTGTTGGTTGGAATTCCACGCAG